ATCAGTGACCCTGGCTGCTCAACCCCCAGGGTGCACACAGAGTCTGCAGCTGGAGAACACTGTGTCTCTAGGAGGAGCGTGGTAGCAGTTGAGCTGTTCCCAATTAACCATGTATTTTCTGACTGCACTGCTCATTCTGGGCACTTCAGCTGGCACCCCTGGGTAATTTCACTAATATCATGCAGCCCCAGAACTTCTCATCTTTCCCATCATTCTTGCTCTCTCCTCGCCACTACACACAGCTTTATGAAGCAGGAAATGGTTTCAAGAATATCAGCCAAGAGGCCTTGAGCCCTACTAGCTCCAATTCCCTTCCTTTTTTGTTGGTTAAACCATAGGCCAGAAGCTGGGGCTAGACACAGAATGGGGGGGAGAGTACATAGCAGCTGCTCTGGTGCTCACAAAGGGAGTGAGAATGGTTTAGACAGCTTTCCTTTCTTGACTTCTGAGCATACAGACACCATTCCTATAAGTAGGGAGTATCCCACCAGGTCAGTCTTGGGCGTGGGAGGCTGATCTCTTGTCCCCCACTGATGAGGGAAAGTCCAGCTGCCTGCTCTCTCTGCCTTCTTTGCTGCCACCACGTGTGCATGGGTGCCGGTTCAAACAACACATGCACAAACTCTGTCATGGGTGCAAGGACTAGTGGCAGTAAGAAGTAGACACAGAGAAAAGAAGAAATGAGAATTTATTCCAGTAGCCAATGGCTGCAGCATCTCACTTCCAGGGACAGGAGTGGAAGTGACGTCCAAGGCTTTGGCAAAGTTGGCTAGACAAGATGTGGCATCAACTTGCCCAGAGGCAGCAGTGGTGTCCTCTATTGTGATTCGGGAGTAAAAGACTGTGGGACAGGTATTATGGCTCTCCATTCTCTTCTTTACACATATATTTCTGGACTCCACTTTGCTCTCTGAAAAGGTTAGAGGCAACAGTTCAAGAGATATCGCCATTGAAATTCGGTTGTTTTTTCCATACAGGTAATTTGAAGTTTTTACTTTTCTCTGACTTCTGATTATATTGAAGCCACGGGGTTTATGGAGCATGATTGTTCTTCTTGTTGGATTCTATAGTTTTGTAAGAATACATTTGGAGGTTTAGACTTATAAGAACACCATCACCCCAGCCACCCTGGAAGTCTGGTGAATATTTTTTGCAGTTTTATTGAGATATAATTGACATACAGCACTGTATAAGTTTACAGTGTACAGCATAATGATTTGAATTACATATATTGTGAAAAGATTACTACAATATGTTTCGTTAACATTCATCATCTCACATAGATACAAAATAAAAGAAAAAAATTTTTTGCCTTGTGGCGAGAACTCTTAGGATCTACTCATTTAGCAACTTTCAAATATACCACGCAGTGGTGTTAACTATAGTCATTGTGTTGTATATTACATCCCCAGTATTTATTTATCTTATAACTGGAAGTTTGTCCCTTTTGACATCTACATCTAATTTCCTCATCCCCAACCCCACCTCCAGTAACCATAAATCTGATCTCTTTTCCTATGAGTTTGTTTTTTAGATTCTACATATAAGTGAGATCATATAATATTAGTCTTTCTCTGTCTGGCTTACTTAACTTAACCATAATGTCCTCAAGGTCAGTCCATGGTATCATAAATGGCAAGATTTCCTTCTTTCTCATGGCTGAACAATATTCCACTGTATATACGTCTACCACATCTGTTTTATCCATTCATCTGTTGATGGACACTTAGGTTGTTTCTATATCTTGGCTATTGTGAATAATGCTGCAATAAACACAGGAGTGCATATATGTCTTCAATATCCTGTTTTCACTTCCTTTGGGTATATATCCAGAAATGGAATTGCTGGGTCATATAGTAGATATGTTTTTAATTTTTTGAGGAACCTCTATGTTGTTTTCCATAATTGCTGAATCAATTTACATTCCCACCAACAGTGGGAGGAAAAGATTTCCCCTTTCTCCACATCCTCGCCAACACTTGATATCTCTTGTCGTCCTGATGATACCCATTCTAAGAGGTGTGAGGTGATATCTCATTATGGCTTTGATTTGCATTTCCCTGATCATTAGTGATGGTGAGCATCTTTTCATGTACCTGTTGGTCCTTTGGATGTCTTCTCTGGAAAAAGGTCTATTTAGTTCCTCTGTCCATTTTTAAATCAGATTGTTTCTTCTTTTGATACTGAGTTATATGAGTTCTCTATATATTTTTAATATTAACCCCTTGTAGGATATATGGTCTGCAAAATTTTTCTCCCATTCCCTAGGTTGCCTTTTCACTTTCTTAATTTTCATTTTCTTGTTGTGCAGAAGCTTTTAAGTTTGATGTAGTCTGTCAGAGAAAAGGGAGAATCCCCCTCCGCCCTTTCCCTTAAGGTTCTTATGGCTGGCCAAATAATTAAAACACAGGTTAGCAGGAGAAAATAATACCAAGTTTAATAACATGTATACATGGGAGAAACCAGGGAAACTGAGTTTCTCAACACAATCCAGAGATTCTCATCGTAAATACCATTTTTCAGCTAAAGACAAAGGAGGATATTGGGGGTGGGTGGTGTTTTGGGATTTCAGTGGGGAAGAAGACAATTTACATGAAGAGGGAAATGTAAATATTTGTCAGACAATGCTTTGCAGGGCCACCTATAGAGAATGTGGCCGGAGAGACAGAAATTATAGTAATCAAGAGTATGTAGATTTAATCCTGATAAGAGTTTTCACAGATAAGGTCATCCCCCACTCTTCCCACTACACAGAAGGAGATACCTTTACAAATGTATATATTTGGTAAACAGAACTTTGTTAAGAATGGGCTTCGCAAGGACCCTGCCAGTCTGTCTACACCCAGAGTTAAATTCCTTTAGGCAGTTTGGGGGAGGTCAAATGTCTGTCAGAGAAAATAATCAAGGTAAAGAGATATATTTCAGGGTGGCCAATTTTGATCTCCCAAAAGTCCCATTTGTTGATTTTTGCTTTTGTCGTTTGTGCTTTTTATGTCATATCCAAAAACTGATGGCCAAGACCAGTGTCAAGGAGCTTCCTCCCTAGACTTTTTTCTAGGAGTTTTATGGCATCAGATTTTATGTTTAAGTCTTTGATCCATTTTGTGTTAATTTTTGTGAGTAGTGTAAGATACGAGTCCAATTTCGTTGCTCTGCATGTCTTTATCCAGTTTTCCCAACACTATTTGTTGAAGAGAAAGACAAATACTGCATGATATCAGTTATATATGGAATCTAAAAAAGCCAAACTCATGTAAACAGAGAGTAAAATGGTGGTTACCAGCGGATAGCGGATGAAGGGATAGAACAGATGTTGTTTAAGGGCAAAATCTTGTAATGAGTAGTAAATAAGTCCTAAAGATCTAATGGACAGTAGAGTGAATACAGATGACAATATTGTATTATAATCATCAAACTTGCAAGGGGACTAGAACTTAATTATTCCAAGCAGTAAAAAGAAATGTTAATTAGATAATGTGATACAGGTGCTAATTATCGCTACAACGGCAATCATATTTCAATATATAAATGTATCAAATTAACGTGTAGTGCACCTTAAACATTTACACAATGTTATATGTCAAATATATTTCAATTAAAAAATAAATAAAATAGATTTTAAAAGGAAGACCTTTAACAAAGCAATTAAAATAATCTGAACAACCTAATAGAATAGAGGACAAGGGCATGAAAAGGTAGTTCACAAGGAAAGAAAAGTGTTAACACTGGAATCAATATGAAAGATGTACCATCTCATTGATCATTAAATACAAGTTCAAAAATCATTCTGTTTCCATTGCATTTTACTGTAACATATTTGATTCACTAATAACTTTGGGCAAATTCTTTCCCCTCTCTGGGTCTCAGTTCTATCAACTGTAAAATGAGGGAGCTGGAGAGATGGTCTCTAAGGGCCCCATCAGTCCCTCAGGAAGAGGCGAAGGGGCATAGTGCTCCCTGTTCTTTCACCCCAAGCCTCTGCCCCCCACTTCCACTCACAGCAGGAGCCCAACACAGACGAAGAGTTGTTTCAGGGCCAGAAGGTCAGGGCGAGGCTGTACTTCCAGAATAATTACATCCACCCCCCTCAAATAGAATAGACAACTGAGGCTCGTCCAACAAGTGGGGAGGCTAGGCTGAGGCTAGAACTCAGGTCAGCTGACTCCAAGCCTGTGCTCTTTCCAGTCCACCCAAAATCTCCTCCTCCCGCGGCTTTGGCCTTTCCTGAGAGCTTCCTTGTACAAGGGCAGTGAGGCAGTGGGCCAACAGCAGAGCTATGACATCATTCAAGTTTACCCAACATACACTCTCCACTACTCATGTCTGCCCTGCCCCCAACTTGTATGTCTCCAGAGAACACTATTCACCATTCACACTAAAGCCCTGGGGTGTCTTGCCTCCTCATTCACATCTTAAATAGAAAGCTGGGAGAGGATATTGCTTAACCCACAGGAATTGTGTGTTAATGGAGGCATCTCAGGCACAAACAGGTAAAATTCTTCACAAGCAGGAATTTCCCAGCATCTGTCTTTCTATGTCTTCTTGGGAGGATATGGATTTCCGGGAAAACATTACAGAAAAGGCAAGAGGGAGTGATAGGTTTAGCTACAAGTGTTGGTTGATCCCATTTGCAGGGCTGACGATAGCCAGGTCAGGACTAGGGGTTCGTTGGAAAGGAAAGGAACTACCTGTAGCTTATGCAATATTTCCCAGCCCCCTCAACACACCCTGCCCCCCACCATCCTGGTCCTAGACCAAAGGCAAAATTTCCAGATTCCCATTTCCTGGTGGAATGGAGACTACAGTTCTTGGTTTGATTATTGGATTTCTAATATTAAGCCCTAGGAATGGGCCTCTTGTTCCTGCCCCTGCTCTCCTTCACACACCAGGAACAGCTCCCATGGGTCCCTCTCCCCTCTCCAGGGAAGATGAAGTCCCAACTCCACACCCATCTCCCCGGAGCTTCTAGGAGCCCAGAAGTCATAGGAGCTGGAAACAAATGGAGCACAAAGCAGTCTTTTATTGGAAAGTCAATGAGAGAGGCAGCCCCAGGCTTGGGCTTCCTGAACGAGAGGAAAAATAGACAGTGTGGGAGACGGTAGTGCTACAGGGACCAGGGCCTGCAGCCCTGAGTGCTTCGCAGATGCAGCAAGGACAGGCTCCACCTGGAAGGAGAGAAGAGAATCAGGGATGTGATTCAGCAGATCAGAGCACACAGAGGCACTGGGAGGCAGGACCAAGTCCATGTGTCACCCCTCTCAGGACCCCAATTGTAGCCTCTGAGACCCCTTAGTCCTTCCTTCACCTCCTCATATCCTCTCTCCCACCAATAGGGGATCTTTCCCCACCGCTCAGCCTTCTCTGTGTCCTCGAGGGCCACCTCTTCCTCCTCCCAGTTCTCACCTCACCGGGGATCCAAACAGGCCCGCCCACAGTAGCCCTCACAGCACTTCTTGGCCCCTGGGCAGCCAGCGTCGCTCCAACAGCGGTTAGGTGGATTCAACATGGCGCACCGGATCAGAATCCTGGGGCAGACGCCAGGCTTAGTGGTGATGAGACCTCTGAGTAGACTTTGGGCTTTGACTGGATCTTGTCTTTTGATCAGAACATCACCTTTGTCAGTGCCTTGACCTTTAGGAGGAACTGTTGAAAGAAGACATGAACCCACATTTAGACCCAGTATATCCCTGCTCCTACTTCGAATCTTTCCCCTAGGTCCAGCCACTGCTCACTGTGGTGCCCCCCAAACCATGAGCTGAGATAGGGGAGGGTCACCAGGGCTAGCTGGGGTCTGTGCTCTTGAAAGGCTGTTCCTTGGGCTTTGGGGAGAGGATCTACAGGACCAGGGTTGCCTCAAGTGTCTATTTCTTCCCTCTCCCTCCATTCCAAGTCCTGGGGCTCTCACGAGGAGAGGATGACTAGAGTGACTCCCAGAGGTGAGAAGGACACCTTGTCATCCCTGAGGAAACTTAGTGGAGGGGAAAAGAGCCCTAAGACATATGCCAAGAGACTTGAGCTCCATCCTGGCTCTGGAGATTGCCTGGACAATTGCTCACTCCCTCCAGGTCTCAATGTCCTCCTTAGTAAAATGGTGGTCTTCAAACTACATGACTTCGGAAGCCCTATTGGTTCTTAACTTCCTCTTAGAGGACTGATTACTCAGGTGCTTTTGTGGGGCAGAGAGGAAGGGGATAGAACTCACAGCCAGGGCCCAGGTTCCTGGGGCTCCTCACTTCATTGCACATTCTGCACAGGTATCAACACCTGAGGCCAAGACCACGTAACAACACTTCTTCCAGAGTCCTGATATCTCAGTCCTGGGGTGGAAAGCACGTGGCGTCCCCTGGGCAAATTCCTACCTTCTCTGGATCCAATGGAAGCGGCCACAGGTTGAAGCAGAGGCCCCAGCCTTGCCTGCTCTTCCAGAGTGCTCCCGGTCAGGACCCAGGTTGCCCCTGACAGCCTCTCCTCAGCCTAACCCAGCCCCTTCTAGATCACTTGTCCACTCACCTCCTGTGACGGCTGCCTGTGTTGCCAATGTCCCAAGGACAAGGAACACCACCAGGACCAAGAAGCTGCCGGACCTCATGTTGTCAGGAGGGCGTATGGCTAAGAGCTGAAACCAACCCCAGTTTTATGGAGGCCCAGCTTGGCCCGGCGCCAGGGGCGGGTCTGTGGTTTTACAATGGACAAGACATACGTTTCCTTAGTTCTACCAGGAAATATTCACCCCGACCTTGGGGCTTTCCCCAAGGATTATTCACGAGGAGAAACAGCAGACACTGTTACATCACCTCTGATAGCCCCAAGAGCTGTCCCAGCTGGGCTGGCTGGCCCTTAGGCACCAGCGAGACCAAATTATTCATATTTAGAAAGAATGTGAAGCCTAGAGAAGAGAGAATAATCACCCAAGATCTTTCAGCGAGTCAGTAGTGGGTCAAGTTTCCTGATTTCAAAACCGCCCGTGTTCCCAGATTACTCTCTGTTCCTGCAAGCCCCATCCAGACCTACCCTAACAGTTAACCCTCCCAACACCAAGCTGGGCTTTTCTTTCATTCTCTCCGGCCCAGAGAAAAACTCTCAAAAGTAAATTTGCCTTGAAAGTCTAGTGGCTAATCACTGCACTTTGCCATTTCACAGGCGGTCTCTGAGATGCACCAAGAAAGTAATAGAGAAGGTAGAATTCTAGATCTGGAAGGGGATGCTGCCCTGGAAATCACAGTGGGCAGGGAGAAAACACTCAGAAAGTAAAAGGAAGAAAATAGAAATCATCTATAAGGTAAACATCTACAGTGTGTATATCTAGCATGCCTTCCTCCTTCTTAGAACAACATCCCATTTCTTCTGAAGAACTCTTGTTTCTTTGTACCATCAACTTACAAGTCTAATGGGGACTGCTAATCATGAAAGCCTGACACCCAGTCACAGGTAGGTATGTGTGTGTCTCAGGTCTGTTGAAGTCCTTTATTTGGACAGACACTAAGGAGAACGGAGAAGTTCCTTCTTTTAGTAAAGGTAGTAGATATGAGCCTGGGAGCTCCAGAAGCTATGGTTCCAGTCTGGGAGGAGGTCAACCGTCTGAGAAAAATGAACCTAATACACTGAGAGAAGCAGAGTAAAGATGGAGAGAGAAGTTTCAGAAGCCACTAGCCAGCCCTTTATTCCCCTTTTCCTTGAGAGCAGCTCTCCCACATTCTTCCCACAGTTGGGTTATGACCCAATAAATTGGCTTTCCACCTAAGCTAGTCTGAGTTGGTCTTTTGTCATTGCCACCAAAGTTGAGAGTAATAGAAACGAATACCCAAAAGTTGGGTGTTGCCAGGGACAGGACCTGAAATGTGGAAGTGACTAAGTTGGGTTCAGAGTGAGACAAGAAAGAAAGCAGACTCATTATTGGGTAGTAAACCAGTTGATCAAATCTTCACCCTTTGTCTCTTTGGTCTCAGACCACATGCCCACCAATGCTGAAACATTAAGGAGATATAAACAAATGTCAGAATGTTGGAGTTTGTTGGCTACTTAAATAAAAAAGCTTATTGCAAAATAAATCATACAAACAAAAAAATGTGTAGAACATACCTATACTCTTTAAAGAAAAGCATTAAAATGGGCAGTCTGTACTCACCTGCTAGGTAATGAAGGAGAATATTTCCTGTACATATGCCCTGTTGACCTACACTCCTCCCCAGTTGCTTCCCTCTCCTCCTCCCCAGAGGTCACCACTTTCCTAGATTTTCTGGTAATTAGCCTATTCAAGTATCTTGCCCACTTTTAATTGGGTTGTCTATCTTTTTCTTATTGATATGTAGAGAAAAGAAACTCTCACGCATTGCTATTGAGAGTCTGTATTGGTGCAACCTATTTGAAAATCAGCTTGGCATCAGCTGGAAAATCTGTGATCCAACAATTACACTCCTAAGTATATACCTAAGATAAGTATTTCCTCATGTTTACCAGGAGACATGCACAAAAATGTTCACAAAAGTACTGTTTCCAATAAAATACTGGAAGCAGTCCACATTACTGACAAAAAAATGGATAAATATGCTATGGCATATTAATACAATGGAATATTATACAATTGTAAAAATAACAAAAATATAGCCATTTAATATTAATATCTAAATATGTAAATATATTTATAAATATAATTTATTATAATTTATATTATGTATATAATTTATTTTATATAAATATAAATAAACATAGTCACAATGGGACTCTAATTAAAATAACGAATGAAAAATGCAAGTTCGTCACAAAAACACTTAGAATTATGTGCTTGTTATAAGGCTCAAAACCAAGGAAAACTAAGTAATAGGTTGTCTAGGCTTACTTATATATGTAGTAAAACTCAAAAAGGGGTAAATAAAAACAAGGAAACTATAAACATGAAATTCAGGATAGTGGTTAACTCTGCAAGTGAGGAAAGAAACATTTTGGATGGATAAGAAGAACTTGAGTTGCTTTCAGTTTTGGGTTGTTGGTTATGTTCTAGTTCTTGGGTTGATTGGTGATTTCACGTGTGTGTGTGTGTGTGTGTCTGTGTGTGTGTGTGTGAGTGTTTTAAGGCTGCAGGATAAATCATTTATGGATTACCTTAGTTTTCCATAAACCCGCATCGCTGTACCCTTAGGTTGTTTCTAATCTTTTGCTATTACAAACTACACCACATGCTGCCTTTTTGCATTATCTTGTAAGCTAGATTCCCAGAAGTAGATTTGCTAGTACAATGATTAAATGCATTTGAAATTTTTGCCCAGTTTCTTGAGGTATGATTGACAAATGAATATTGTATATATTTAATGCATACAATGTGATGTTTTAATATATATATACATTGTGAAAAGATTATCACAATCGAGCTAATTAATATATCTATCACCTCACACAGTTACCATTTTTAAAATGCTTTTGAAATTTTGATAATATTGTCATATTTCCCTTGATAGGGGTTGTACCATTTTGTACTCCCACTAGTAGTGGATGAAACCGCATATTAACATCCAGCCTCTTGCACAGGGAGTGTGTCTGATTTTTAGATTTATATCAGTCTAGTAGGTGAGAAACGATGCCTCACTGAAGTTTTTAGTTCGCATTTCTCTATTGCAAATTATTTCAAGCACTTTTTAATATTTTAAAGGCCACTTATATTTCTTTTTCTGACAACCTAATTTCCTTTGCTCCTTTTTCTATAGATTCATTAGCCTTTTTCTTCTCAATTTCTAAACACTATATATTATAGAGAAAGGTCTTTTGTCTGTGATATGGTTTGCCAATAAAAATTTTAACCTCATTCTAAGATTTGCTCAAAACAGCTCAGGGTGGCATTCTTTCCTCATCTCATCTGGCCGTTACCTCCTTTTGTTTGGCTATTTCTGGTCTGTACTCTGCTTCACGATATTCTTAAACTGGTGCATTGGTTCATTAATTTTTTTCAATTCCTGTGCCAAAATACTTAAAAATATAAATGAAACAAAAAAGATCATAGGAAAAATAACTTTCTAAACTGAAACTGACACAAGAAAAAGTAGAAAATCTGAATAATCCTATAATCATCCTAGAAATAGAATCAATAGCCAACAATCATCCAACAATGAAAGCATAGAGTCAGACCACTTCATAAGCAAGCATACTCTATAAAGCACTTGAGGAACAAATTATTCTAATATTACATAAAGAGAGAATAAGAAACAATTCCCAGTACATCTTATGAAGTAAACATAACTTTGATACCAGAACTTAACAAGGATTTATGTCCGTTATATCCCAATAAAGCTGTTAAAAAATAAAAATAAAAATCTCAACAAGCATACTATGAAAAGGGAAGATTCTAAGCCAATCTCAATCACTATGAACATAGATGCAAAAATCCTAAATAAGTCATTTACCAACTGAATGTAGCAATATGCAAAAAGGACAATATTTTGTGACTAAGTTTAATTTATCTGCAGTATACAAAGATAGCTTAATGCTAGAAACTCAATTAATGTAATTCACCACATTAACAAATTAAAGAAAAATATACTATGATTTTATATACAGAGTAGCATTCAATAAAATTCAAGATGAAGTTGTGATATAGAAATAACAAATTAGGAATGGAGAATAATTCTTTTAAAGTGAGAAAAACTACCCCTTAGCAAATATACATAAATGTAAAATGTTTTAACCTCTCTTTGTAAAATCAGAAACTATCCTCATTTCTGTTCAGTATTATTCTGGATACCCTAATCTACAAACTCAGACAAGTAGAAGAAATAAAAGGTAAGAGTATTGGAAAGAAAAAACAAAACTGTCATTATTCATAGATGATGCAGTTGTAATCATAAAATTCCAAACAAATCTACAGATAAATTATTAAACTCAATGAGAGTTTATGATAGATGCATACAAAGGGAATATACAAAAATCAATTGTATTCTATATATTAACAACACAAATCAGTAAATGAAATTTTAATGATTTTATAATCATATAAAAATATGAAGAGCTTATAAATAAATTTAATAAATTCTGTGCAGGACCACTACAGAGCAAATTATAAAACTTTAGTGAGAGATATTTTTTAGCACTCCCAAATTAGAAAGGTATACCATGCTCATGGATTGGAAGACTCAATGTGAAAAAGATGCCAATTCCCTTCAAATTGATTTTTAGATTCAGGGCAATCCCAATCAAACCCCCAGAAAGGTTTTTGTAAAAATAAACAAAAGAATTGGCACTATGATTCTAAAATGAATACAAAAAGTGCAAAAGGCAAGATAGTGAAGATACTCTTGAAGAAGAACAATTTAGCAGGACTTGATATAGCAGATATCAAGGCTTATTTTAAAGCCATAGTAATTATAATAAATTATTAGAACAATAATAGATAAATATGCAAATGAAGCAGAATAGAGAGTCCAAACAGATGATTGCACACAGTGAGAGTATGTTTTTAATAGGGTTATATTTTAAAAATATGGCTATGTTTATATTAAGAAGGCTGCACATCATAATACTACAGGTTCCCTGAGCAATTGATGGGAGGATAAAGGTAAAGAAGATAAGATAGAAGGAGGGAGGAGACAAATAAAAAGGGATAAATAAATATTGCTTCA